CACCAAATTGTATACGTTAGACATGTGAAGAGGTTTTTGTGAGTTTTTTTTGGATATTAGTTACATCTCAGTAGCTGTTGAATGAAAGGGAGAAAGAGAGAGAGAGAGAGAGAGAGAGAGAGAGAGAGAGAGAGAGAGAGAGAGAGAGAAATGAGAAAGAGAGTGAGAAAGAGAGAAAGCGAAGAGATAGAGAAAGGAGAGAAAGAAGAAAGAAAGAAAGAAAGAGAGAAAGAGAGAAAGAGAGAAAGAGAGAAAACAAAAGAAAGGAAAGGAAAAGAAAAGAAAAAAGAAAAGAAAAGAAAAGAAAAGGAAAGAAAAGGAAAGAAAAGAAAAGAAAAGAAAAGAAAAGAAAAGAAAAGAAAAGAAAAGAAAAGAAAAGAAAAGAAAGATCATCTATCTGGTAGATGCGTAGATGGTAATATAACATTTGACAGTGTAACTACAACAACAACAACAGCAAGTATGGCCGAGAAAATGTAAAATCCTAAAATGCAAGAATAGTAAAAGATGCTTTTTATATCTATTGAGTCATTGTAATGTAACCCCAAGGTAGACAAACTTAAGAATGTTTGATTGACAATTTGCAACTTTGTCTATCTGTCTGTCTGTCTCTGAAGTCCCCTTGAGAGTGAGACATCTGGCTGCAGCACACTGGCTAAATCTAAGAGAAAAGAGTACCTTTCTAGGAGAGATAGCACACTTTGGCCACTGTATGACACATCAGCCATGATAAAAATATATGTCTTGCTTGGACATCTCTTATTATGCAACCTTAAATAATCATAAGCCCTTTGGGAAAATATTAAAAATTTTGACTTTTAATACATTCATGAATGTTATTCCTGTATGTCCACTTAGGTGTTGATCTGTAAATACCAATTTGCTGGTGAGTACATGTGGTGCTTGTTTTTCCATTCTTGAGATACTTCACTTAGTAGAATGGGTTCCAGCTCTATCCAGGAATATACAAGAGGTGCTATATCACCATTGTTTCTTAAAGCTGAGTAATACCCCATGGTATACATATACCACATTTTATTAACATCTATCAGGTGTTGGGAAGGGGGGTGGAAGGAGGGGATGGGTATATACAACCAAACGAGTAAGATGTGCAACGTTTGGGGGATGGACACTCTTGAAGCTTTACTCAAGGGGGAAAAGGGGCATGGGCAATATATATAACCTTAACACTTGTACCCCCATTCTATGCTAAAATAAAAAAAATAAAACATTCATGAAAAATACGGAGGGAAAGGAAAGGAAATATACAACAGTATTTTTTAAGGTATAGTGATAAATTAGGCCTTAATATTTTCTTTTAGGTATGTTTAAAATTTTCAATGCTGTGTGCCACGGAAGAAGTTTAACCACATCTGTGTATCTTCCAGGTGAAAAACAGTAAGTGGTTAATCATCTGGGAAAGCAATCTCAGTATATTCTACTTACAATTAATCTCAGGGCAAAATTTCCAAGGAGGAAACAGAGAAGTGGTTGCTCCTTTGTTTTTGTTTTGTTTCTTTTCTGTCATATAAGAAGTCACAGAATACTTGGAGATGAAAGATTATGGTGATTGTCTCTGAAAGCTATATAGATATCCAAAAACATTTATTGTGAAAAACCATTTGGATGGATAATATTCCAATAACTTGGTTAGTTTGGCGATGCAAGGGGATGTTTATGACACTGTGAAATCAAATTCTTAATATGTGTATCGTGCTTAAGATAATACTGCTACTAGTTTCCTTATGGGTACTGTTATGGTAAGAAAATAAAAGGTTTTTCTTTCTGAAAAAGAGAAAAAACTTTTTAGAAAGTACTAGGTTAAGTTCAAAACATTGCCGCAGAAAAATAGATATTAATATGCATTGATTCTTATTTCAGGACAGAAATGGTTCCCAAGGTCCTACTGTAAGGCCCCTGTACTTGCTGTTTGAACTGCCTAGAATGTTCTTTATCACAAATACACCTGGCTACTTCCCTCAGTGTTCCAGTCTCTTCAAATACTACTTTTCTCATAAATCTTCCCTCTAGGTCTTTTCTAAGTTTCATATTTTTTTTTCACAGAGCAATTGCTGTGCAAAACACTGAGAGATCGCTCTACTTACATTTTTTTGAAATTTTTTCTGAATGTCACCATTTCACATGAGGACACTAAGATTCAGAGAAGTCACACAACTTGCTTAAGGTGGCTACAGTGAGAAAGTTGAGGATCTAAGACAGGAGGCCAGGCTTCTAGACTCCCCCCAGCACTGTATCTGGCCAACTACACTATAGCCAGATTTTGTTAAAGAAAGAAAATAAATTAGTTCAAAATTATACAAAAATGAGTACAGAGAGTAACCTAAGAATATTTTTGTATCTCAATTAAAGAAACATGACCTTTTTCAAATGAGTTTTGTTTATCTTAGAATAATTTAAAGATATTAAAAACCACTTATGACTTTGAGTTCTAAACTTGAAACAAACTAAACCAACTGAATCTGGATTGGCCATTCTTTTCACCTTAAAAAGTTGCAAGCATAAAGGCTAAATGTTTCCTAATAAAACATTTTAGTATGCTTACAACTGGGGGAAGTAGAAAAAAAAATTCTTAAATGACAATTGTTAAATCTTTGCTCTTTAATGATAAGCTGTATTTATCAGGCAAGTTGGCAGGAATTTATAGGTTAGCTAATGTAACATCAACAAAGAGTCACATAGTACTTATTCCGTGGCTGCACTTTGCCTATATAATGCATTTAATCTCCATCACAAATATAATGTGCTATTGTATTTCCACTTAATAAAAGTGGAGACTGAAGCAGAAATGTTAACTAACTTGCTCAAGGGTACACAACTAGTGTGTAAACTTAGCACTGGACTAGAAAATTGAGGGAATTAAAAAATTATACATCAGGTGCATTACCTGTCCTTAGAAAATTAAAACTCTGAAATATTTTATTATTGGAAAAATTAATATATGGGTGAATGAATGCATGAATAATTTAAGTAATTAATAAAAGAGCTAAAAATGCATACTATATGATAAAATGCTTTCTTTGTGGTTATTGAATTGAAATCCTTTGAAATCTACTGAGAAAGAAATACAAAGAAGAATTGGTATATGAGGGAAATCAAGTAATTTTGAGCTTTAGAAAAGAAAAAGGCAATCCAATTAATTCGGCAAATATATATTACTCATATAATGCTTGAGAGCCACAGGAATAGATCCTAGGGATATATAGAAACATGTGTAATATATTTTCTGTCCTCAACATCTTTCCAGTGGGAGAGAAAGATTTGTAAACAAATAAGTGCAAGAAGGTTTGGTTTAGGCAATAATAGAATGCAAATAAGATGCAGAAGCGTTATACAAGAGAAAAACAAGGCCGAAAATTGATATAAAATTCATATAGATAACATTTGTAATTAAATTAAAATCGCCATTCAGGGCAAAGAGACCGTGTGACAGTGTCCCCATGCTTTAAATTTGTTTAAACTCTTTTTAAACTTCAGTGAACATTGCAACTGAATGCTGCATATTATATCCTATAAATAGGAAATGGACCTTAGCTCAGTTTTTCTGGCTTTGTGAAGCCAAATGATGTCCATGTCATTAGAGTAAATTAGTGCTCTAGGATTATTTCTTTAACTAGAAAAATATGCAGATGACAAATTTGCACATGGATGTTATCAACAAAAACTGCTGATTTCCTTTTACAACATTTCAGAGAATCTATATCAACTGGACTAACAGGACTTTTGTTATAAAATAGGCATTTCTGTAACTCTCCACACTTCCCTTGTAGATGTGCTTATATATGTATATAAAATTGAATATTATTCATCTTTTAAGAGAGCAGATTATTAGAGTTTAGCATATTAAGTTGAGATGTGTCCAAAAGACTCAGAACAAATGTCAAGTGGAACACAGTGTAAGAACTCAATTACTTGCTCAATGACTCATAATGTGTGTCCAGCAATGCATGCCGTGATGGATGGAAGTGTAAAATACTTAGAATGCAGATTTCAGATGATACCACTACAGCAAAAGGCATTTAGACAGGTCCAGAAAGCAAAAGATTTTTATCAGTCATCAAAAACTGAAATGACAATTGATGAAATGAGGATTCAAAAGGCTTAGGAGTTTAAAAACTCCAAAGTTTTTAACTATATTGCTATATCGCTATAAGACAATATAGCAGCCAGGAACAGGATCAGAGTGGTACAAGAAAGGGTTAACCCTGAGACTCTTTCGTGCCAAGCACTGTGCTAGGTTTACAGCTCTGTTATTAAACCAAATCAGTCCTACCTTTGAATCCATAATGCTCATTTAGAAATCAATTACGTAGCTTTTAGGAGAGGTAAAAATGAAGAAGGGAATGGCATCTTTGAGCTACTACTACGTTTCAGACAACATTCTAGGCTCTTAACTACACAATGAGATAGATGTGGACATTGTTCTCAAGAGAAAAACAAATCAGAAGACATCTTTATTTTATAGACATAGAGTATGTACAATATTACCTTACAACTTGTACATGTTTGTTGTATACGCTAACATAATACTTGTATCTGGACTATTTCTGAGTGAAACCAGACAAATAGTAATTATTTATTAGGGAATGGATTCATAAAGTAGACCTTTCTCACCCAGACTCACTGAGTCTCTCTTTCACATGCAAAACAACTCATGGATTAATGTGATAACAGAAAAATTAATTCTGAGTCTATCTCTCAAGATAGAGGAACCAACTAGAAATTTTATTTCAAGCAAAAGAGTATGTCATACATTGCACTATGCGTACTTTTAGAATATAGATACTTCAATCTTCTTCTGGAGAGAGCCTGGAATTAGGACATCGGTAACTCTTTCCATTTTTTTTTTTGAATTTGAAATTCATGTATTTTCCATGAAACTTAAGCATCTAAATCAATAATTTAAAATATGTATATTCTGTAAGAGTCTTTTATACCAAGAGGCTTGTTTCTGGTCGTCAACAGTGACCTTTCCTCCCATTTCACCATACAAAAGCAGCCCGCTACCGCAGCATGCGGACACCAAAGTGCTGCCACTCTCGCTGATAAATCCACAGTTCCTGTGTTGTGTCCAAACAAGCCAGCACTGCCCCTCCTTTCCATGCAATGAGCCTGGGATCCATGTCCTTAGGCCTTGTGATCACTTCCACATTTTCAATAATTCGTCTGAATGAAGGTGGCATTTTATTGAGAATTCTGTGTTACAGAAACTCTTGAGCTTTATGAAACATCAAACCACCTCCCACCACAAGGATGGAGCTGTACATCTTCTTTTTGGTATCATCAGATGAACAGCAGTCTATGCTGTGAAGGATGGCTTTGTCCAGGCCCAGGGCTTTCCCTTCAAACAGTGAGATGGCAGTCTTTCTGGACATCAGTGCAGCGAGGGCCTCCTCAGAATCATTGCCAGCCATCAGGCAGTCTCCCTGGGAGGACCCCAAATCCACCTCTTGGGAATGAAGTCTTTCTGGAAGATTAGAGGACTGGCCACGAAGATCTTCAAATCCAATGGGTTTGGATGCAGACTTTTGGTCAGCAGTAGCTTTTGCAGACTGTTCCTGCTTGCTCTGAGTGGCCAGAAGGTACTGCTCATCATGAGGGTCCTCAGGATCGCCCTGGGATCTGTGCTGCAAAGTCATCGTCTTCTGTCCCACAATTCCAAAAGTTGCTGGGTAAAACAAAGCCATTGGAGCCTGGAGTTTTTCATCTCCTAATGGAAACTGGTAAAGTAGGGCAGGAGAATCTGGATGTCGAATCTGAAACTCATAGTCCTGAAGCCCAGAGATGTCCTGATCTAAATGACAAAAAGTTTCTTTAAGGTGCTGCAGAAGAAGGCAGTCTATTTTATTTGTTAATTGGCATTCTCTGTAAGGAAACCCAGCTCGCTGCATCAGCCAGTAAAAACATCTTGACACATCAGATCCCCCATATGCCAGACAGAGCCGAGTGTTCCGATGAGACACTCCATCTTCCACACACAGACACTTGTTTTCTGATCCCCAACATCTACAATACAAGTACTGCTTAAGCCACTTCCAAAGGTGGCACACACAGACTCCTGATGGACCACGATTCCTGAAAAACCCATCTTCATTAGTATCATATTCACTAGTTCTTTCACATGCTGCTTATTATAGATGTCAGGAATTAACAAGATACATCTATAATACTTTAAATCTTTCAGTGGGATTTCCAGGTATTTTTGTATTGCATGGGACCATATTACTTCAATATCTGCCAGAACAGCTGTAAGGGAGCCCCCCGGGCCTGAGTGAATGTTTAACTGGCCTCTCCTGGTAGGCCAGTGAATATTATAACAGTCCAATGGATTAACATACAAGGCCTCTTCTCCTACCAAATACTCAGGGTGATGAGATGTGTTTGTCCACTTATTTCCTGAACAGTGATCTAAAATTGCAGGTCGCATCTGCTTATTGTAGGAGTGTGCCTGTTCAGGGGACACAGGAATCCGTCTTGTACCATTTGACATCTTTTTAGACCATATTGCTTGTTCCACCATTTTAAAGCCATTTTGTCTTTGTTCATTACTTTCAGGTTTATTTAGTCCCTCTCTTAGGAGCCAATTGTCCTTGTATAGGGGCTGCCCTTGTTGTTTGTGTCTTCGTGCAATGACATGAGGAATGCCAGCAGGAAGTGTGTCGGTGGCTCGACCAATCCTTAAAGTTGTTGAACCTGGATGTATGACAACAATGAAGTTGCTCTGGATTTGCTCCTGCAGCGACTCCGGCACCAGCGCGGGCACGATGGGCCGCTTCACGCCGGGCTGCTCCTTCTCCTTCTCCCCGCCCTTCTCTTTCCCATTCTCCGCGTCTCCCTTCTCCGCCTGGGTCATCTTGGCGCCGGCTCCCACCAGCCTCTCACCACTCTTTCCATTTTGAAAAGAGCTCTCCTTCACTAATCTAGCTGGCAAACTTCTTCAGTTTACATAATTTTGCTTCTTTCAGCATTATTTATTTTTAAATAGAGGTTCAGAACACCTGTTTTTCAAAGTGATACCTAATTCACTGATTAGCACAAAGTTTCTCTTCAGCAGTTTCCTTCTTCTTTCTGTTCAATCTAATTTCAAAGCCCTTACAACTCAGCAACCAGTATCACAAAGCCCCTGGTGTCTCATAAAAAACATTCCTAAAGGACCCTGACATTCTTACAGAGCAGTGAAAGTCTGAAATGTAAAAATTAATTAATTAATTAATAAGTCAAAATGAAAAGAAATAAAAGTATGGCATCCCAACCAGTGCTGTGCTTACAGGTCTTCTACCTCTAGGTTATTTATGGCTGACCCAGGTCTTGGCAAACAATGGGGCTCCATCTACAGTCACTGCATGCTCAGTTTACTACCTGGCCCCTCCCTGCTGTTCTTTTACCCTCCAGTTTGTAAAGTGTCCTTTTTGTCTATATAAACATTTGTATTTACTTGTTCCTCAAAGAGATGAAAGAGAAAAGAATCAATACACATCCATTCTAGTTTCTCAAAGCTAAAAATGCACTAAATTGTACCTTTAGGAAATATCAGAGGAGTCCTAGAGTGACCAAAATCTTTCTTTGACATGTTTCTTCAAACATTCAGACCTTTGTCCTGTTTGGGTAATAATAGAATCATTATAGGACAATGTTTATAATGTGCCTGCACTTTACAAAAGAACTCTGGGTGACCAGGGAAAGCAATAGAATGCATCATTAAACTGTGCATTAAAAAAAAAAAATGTTTACCAGTAGTTCAGGGATCAAAGTGCTCTCAGGTTCTAAGGTGGTTTTCCCTGTCAACTCAGTATCCTGGGCCCCTTACTGCAGTAGCAGTAAGTACAACTCGTTAAGCAATCGAAGAGTCATAAAGGTCCATTGCCAATAAAACAATCTTAAAGGCTAAAGCATATTCATATAGCTTCAGGCAAATTTCGATTTCGTTCCATGTTGCAATTCAACTCTTAAGAGTCTATACAGGTGTCTGTATAAAAACAAACAGTAAAGTAAAAAATATTTTTTAAATCCACATTAAAAAATAATGAAGAACACTTTGCTTGATCATCTGAGCACACAGACTACTTGCACATAGATTTTTTTCTTTAATGGATGCATTTTCTATACAATATATGTATGTATATTTTCACTTAAGTATTTATTATTTTTGAGAGAAGCAGCAAAATATGATAAAATTCATTGAGAGATGAGAAGATTCTGGTTTAAGCTCTAACCCTGGTAAAAGTCACATGCTTTTGAAGAAGGCAGTTTAATCTCTCAGAAAGTCACATTCCTGTTCCTTAAATTCCCTTCCCACTCATGCTGGACTTTCCTGGCATGATCAGTGGTGTTCCCACAAACAAGGCCAGTACACTCCTTGAAGCATTAGGACACTCTCTCCCACTTCCCCCCTCTCTCCTTCTTACTTTCTCCCTCCTTTACTCTGGATCAATCTTAACCCTTGCCTTTGGGTTTTAGCATTCAAATTTTCTATATTCTTAATTATGATTCCTTTCTGTCTGACCTAACTATTTCCAATAAAGTTATATGTAGAAGTTATGGTTAGGTCCATATCATAAAGATTCTTGAAAATACCCTTTTATAGTTGGCATAGCAACACAAATAGAGGATTCTCCAGGGCTTATGGTTTCTAAAGTGGGAAAAGGGAATCTATATCCATCCTCACTAGCCTTCTAAAACACTTCCCAGGAAGCCCATTTTGGTCTCACCTTATGGGAAAAAGAGAGGATAACAGCATAGATAGATCACCTGGGGCCAAGTCGAAACAAAGCAATGAGATGGCATGCACAGCAACCAGTGCACAGACCTTTGTGGTAGCTCTGTGTACCTAACAGCAGTGGTGTTGGAACAGAGGTAACGGCCAACAGCATAGCTGACCCACAAAGCTGAGCTGTTTGATCCAAAAAGTGGTAGGATGTTCTACCTGGCTTTGATATCTAGATAGCCCAGCCTCCTGGCCCAGCTGCAGACTCTACCCCAAGACCATACTCAGGGAGAGAGACACTCCCCACAGTGTCACTCAGCAATGAGCAGGGGCCAGTTCTGCCACACTTGAGTTGGACTCACAACCCAACTCAAGGCCCCATCTAGGCAGGGAGGCAAATCTCAACCATACATATCTACTAAGCATAGCAACTGGTCCAATCCATCCCAAATAGCTACCCCATCTAACCTTGGAAATCAGAATGAAATCCTATCCAAACGCAGATCTTAAATAGTGATACCACCTGGCAAGGGAATACACTTTGCGGATTGGCCTGATCAGAGTCAATTACAATGCTCAGCCAGCAGCTCTGCCTGATTGTAGGGTACAGCCAATGGTCTCACCTTACAATGGAGACCAGTCAGCAGCCCCATTCACAATCACAGGCTACACTCTATAGTGAAGGGCTATCTCTGCCAAAGAAAACCTGTAAAGCTAGGAGAGGTAGCTTTCTCTTCAAATATACAGGCACCAGTTCAAGAACACAAGGATTATAAAGAGTCAGGACATCATGACACCTGCAAAAGAAACTAACAAAGATCCAACATTGGACTCTAAAGAAAAAAAAATAGAGTTCTATGAAATGATAAAGAATTAAAAATAATCTCCTTAAATATGTTCAGTGAACTATAAGAATAGATGAATAAAAAATTAAAGGAAATATGGAAAACAATGTGTGAGCACATAAGAAGTTTGACAAAGGAATAGCACAACAACAACAACAAAATAAAAATACTATAAAGAAAGAATACAATGAAAACTGAAAAATGGAATAGAACTTTTAACAGCAGGCTTCATCAAGCAAGAAAAAAACCACTGAGCTCAAAGACAGAACATTTGAAATTATCCAGTCAGAGGAATAAATAAAGAAAACCTTCAGAAATTATGAAACACCCTGAGGAACTCATTTTTATATAATAGGAGTTCTAGAAGGAGGAAGAAAAGGGCCAAGGAAACATATTTAAAGAAATAATAGGGCCAGCTGTGGTGGCTCACCCCTCTAATCTTAGTGCTTTGGGGATAGGTGAGAGGATTGATCACTTGAGGCTAGGAGTTGGATACTAGCCTGAGAAATATAACAAGACCTCATCTCAAAAGGGAAAAATTAGTTGGGCATAGTGACTCATGCCTATAGTCCCAACTACTCAGGAGGCTGAGGCAGAAGCTTTACTTAAGCCCAGGAGTTTGAGGTTGTAATAAGCTATGATGATACCACTGCACTCTAGCACAGGCAACAGAAAGAGATCCTGTAAGAAAGGAAAGGAAGAAAGAAAGAAAGAAAGAAAGAAAGAAAGAAAGAAAGAAAGAAAGAAAGAAAGAAAGAAAGAGAAGAAGAAGGAAGGAAGGAAGGAAGGAAGGAAAGAAAGAAAGAAAGAAAGAAAGAAAGAAAGAAAGAAAGAAAGAAAGAAAGGAAGGAAGGAAGGAAGGAAGGAAAGAAAGAAAGAGAGAGAGAGAAAGAGAGAAGAGAGAAAGAAAGGAAGAAATAAGAGAGGGAAGGAAGGAAGGAAGGAAGGAAGGAAGGAAGGAAGGAAGGAAGGAAGGAAGGAAGGAAAATAAAGAAATAATAGCTAAAAACTTCCCAAGTTGGAGGAATGATGGCAACGTCCAAGTAAAGGAAACAGAGAGGTCTCCTACCAAATTCAATCAAAAGAAAAGTTTACTAAGTCATATAATAATCAAACTGTCAAAAATCAGAGACAAAGAAAAAATTCTGAACAACAAAAGAGATAAAAGACATATTACATGCAAGAGAGTATCAACAAGACTACAAATAGATTTCTCAGCAGAAACCCTGGAGGCCAGAAAATTAATAAAATGTGGTATATGTATACAATACTACTGTATTGTATTGTATATGTAATGTATATGAATACTACTCAATTACAAAAAAACATGATGATCTAGCACATCTTATATTTTCCTGGATGGAGCTTGAGCCTATCCTCCAAAGTGAGGTATCACAAGAATGGAAGAATAAGCACTACATGTACTCTCCATCAAATTGGCACTAACTGATCACCACTAAGGTGGTCACATGGTAGTAATATTCTCTCGGGGTTGGGAGGTTGGGGGTGGGTAAATTCACAACAATGGATGTGGTGAGCATTGTAGTGGGTAAATGGCACATTTCAAATCATGCTTTGGGTGTGGCAAAGTCATAACATGTAACCAAAATCTTTGTATCCCCATAATATCCTGAAATAAAAAAAAAAAAAGAATGGAAAGATATATTTCTAAACATGCTGAAGAAAAAAAAAAAAAAGCTGAACAAGAATATCTTACCCAGCTAAATTGTCCTTCATAAAGTAGGGGCAAATAAAAACATATTCAGACAAACAAAATCTAAGGGAGTTAACAAATACTAGGCCTTCCTTGCAGAAATTATTAAAGAAAGTTTTATAAACTGTAGGGAATGATTACTAATCAATAAGATAAAACATGTGAAAGTGTAAAAGTTAATAGTGCAAACAATATGGAGTCATATTTAGAATACCTTGGACTGAATTAGTAATGTGTAAAGCAATTTTATCTCTAATATAATGGTCAGTAGTCAAATATATTAAAACAACTATGGCAAAAATTAATTGTCAGGGGATACAAATTACAAAATGATATAAATTTTGACATTATAAACATAAAATATGGGGGGATTGATAAAAATGTAGAGTTGTATGAAACCAAAGGTACATACTATCAGCTTGAATAGCCTGTTATTAGAGTGAGATGTTTTATGTAAATCTCATGCTAACCACAAAGTAAAAATCTATACTAGATATAAAAAACAAATAAAATGAATCAAAGCATATCAATACAGAAAACCATCAGGTCACAAATCAATTCAGAGGAAGAAATAAACAAAGTATAAACAAAACAACCAAAACACAAATTATAAAATGGCAGTATATCAATAATTATTTTGAATATAAATGGATTAATTTTTTGGTAAGAAAACAGAATGAGTGACTGGACTAATAAGCAAAAAAACAAACAAAACGCATCCTATCAAAATATATGCTGCTTATGAGACTCATCTCACCTTTAATGACATATGTAGAATGAAAGTAAAGTAGAAAAGAATGCTCCATGTAAATAGACACCAAAAGAAATTAGGGATAGCTATACTCATACAAAATAGACTTTAAGTAAAATGCTGTGAAAAGTGTTAAACAAGGTCATTATATAATTAATGGGTCAATTTATCAAGGGGATATTTCATGCATAATTATATATACATCCAATATTAGAATACCTAAATATACAAAGGAAACATTAAGCAGGGGTCCTCAAACTTTTTAACAGGGGGCCAGTTCACTGTCCCTCAGACCATTGGAGGGCCGGATTATAGTTTTTAAAAAGCTATGAACAAATTCCTATGCACACTGCACATATTTTATTGTGAAGTTAAAAACAAACAGGCATAGCTCTTGGGAGGCCGAGGTGGGCGGATTGCTCAAGGTCAGGAGTTCAAAACCAGCCTGAGCAAGAGCGAGACCCCGTCTTCTACATATAATACAGAAAGAAATTAATTGGCCAACTGATATATATATAAAAATTAGCCGGCATAGTGGCACATGCCTGTATCCCAGCTACTCGGGAGGCTGAGGCAGAAGGATCACTCGAGCCAGGATTTGAGGTTGCTGTGAGCTAGGCTGACGCCATGGCACTCCTCTAGCCTGCAGACAAGGAGCTCTGTCTCAAAAAAAAAAAAAAAAAAACAAACAAACAAACAAAAAACAAACAAACAGGCAAAAGCACCCGCATGTGGCCCGCAGGCCGTAGTTTGAGGACGCCTGCATTACAGCATCTGAAAGGAGAAATTGCAATAAAAATAACTGTAGGGGACATAAATGTCCCACTTTTAACAATGATTATCCAGATAGAAAAACAGGTCATTCTATCCAAAAGTAATGGAATACACATTTTTCACATGCACACACAGAATATTCTCCAGAATAGATCACATATTAGGTTGCAAATAAGTCTGAACAAATTTAAGAGGACTGAAATCATATCAGTTATCTTTTCTGACCTTAATGATATGAAACTAGCAATCAATAACAGGAGAATCTTGGAAAATCTTCCAATAAGTGGAAATTAAACAGGATGTTTCTGAAAAACCAATCAGTCAAAGAATAAATTAAAAAAAAATCTTGAGACAAAAAAATAACGAAAACAACCATGCCAAATCTTACGAGATGCACCAAAAGCCCAAAAGTAGTTCTAAGAGGAATATTTATAGCAATGAATATCCACATCAAACAAGAAGAAAATATGAAATAAACAACCTAACATTACCACCCAGGGAACTAGAAACAGAAGAACAAACTAAACCTCATGTTAGCAGAAGGAAGGAAATAACAAAGATCGGAACAGAATTAAATAAAATAGAGACTATAAAAACAATAGAAAAAGTAAAACAAAGAGTTGGCTTTTTAAAAGATAAACAAAATTGATAAATGATTAGCTTAACTAAACAAGAAAAAAGAGAGAAGACTCAAATAAATAAAATTGAAATGCAAAAGGGGACATTACAACTGATACCACAGACATACAAAGGATCATTAAGAGATTACTATGAAAAATTATACTCCAACAAATCAGATAATTAGAAGGAATGGATAAATTCCTAGATACATACAATTCATCAAGACTGAATTATGGAAAAAAAATAGAAAATCTGATCAGATCACTAACACGTAGAGAGATTGAATCACTAATAAATAGTTTTTCATCACAGGAAAGCCCATGGACCTGAAAGGCTTCACTGCTCAATTCTTCCACACATTAAAGAACTAATACTAATCCTGCTCTAACACT